AGAGAGAGAGAGAGAGAGAGAGAGAGAGAGGTGCAACTGACAGTCAGGGTCAGAAGTGACAGATGGATCAAAGCACGGACATAGTGCTCTACTGCAGTAAAACGGAATAATTTTTCATTTCCAGCCCCCGTATGCTCAAGGTTTGTCTGAAGACTGTAATCACGTCAGTGAAATTCACAACACACACGGTGACCTGTCACTCGCTGTGATCCTCAGGCTGCTCCCCGTCGCTACTCAATCACATTAAAGCACTGCCTACAAGCCGTATACGGCAACAAATCATACTGATGTGAGTTATACACAATAAATGGGATTACATGGCTCGGATATGTCAATGTGATTCCATCGTGTGTGTTATCAGACTCTCGGAACAACCTAATAAAATGGCTGATAAAACAGACAACAGCAGTTGATGATGGGAGATTTTGGTTTTCTTCCCACACAGCAGCAGTCAGATTGATCTCCACATGACACACACACACACACACATTTTATATACTTTATTTGATTCCACATTACAAGTCAAATTTCATTAGGAATCAAATTTTTTGAATGATCCAACAGATTAAAGCAAATCCGCACATTGTTATGGATTATACAGTTCTATGGGTACAGGAAACATAGCCTTTTCCAAATAAACATGCTTCCTATAGTTGCTGAGATTGAACAGTACTTTGCCAACTGTTTAGCCCTTATTTTAGATAGCCCCCCAATGCAAAGTCCACAGATCACCAGCATGTGTACATGACCTAGACTACCAAACACCAGCACAATAAGCTGGCATTTGTACCCAAGGTTCTCAACGGTAGATATCAATGACTGATATTTTAAAGTCTTAGAGCAGTAAGAGTCCTCCATAAACAAGTCAAATGCACATGACACCTCAAATAGTGTAACTGTTTTGCCATTCTGAGAGATGTTAACGACACACACACACACACAAATCTATATAACAACAGTATATGGTTAAACTGTACTTCTAAAAACAGTAAAATGATAAATGAGTTAGGAAAAAGCAAAAAGGTCTGACAGCACTAGTGAGTATTTCAAGTGCTAATTCTAATTCTAATTCACTCTCTACATATTTCTAAAGTAAAGAATTGTTAATTACAAATCATTTTGCATAATTTGAGTAAAAAGTTGAAAAGGAAAAACTGTAGGATTACAGACTGCATGCCAGATGAACAAAAGTTACTTGAGAAAAAACACTGAGGAA